AAATCACCAGAGAACACAGATAATTATTTATGGGGACTAAGTGTGGAGTTAGAAAACATAGTGGCCAAGAGTCATAGCTCAGATATGTTGATAAGGGATCACATCCCATAATGTTGACATTAACAGATGGCTCATGATATACAGCAGGATCCCACCAGCGTGTAGTCAGTGGAGCCCCCCTAAAATAACAGGCCCAATCTGGCCATCCCAGGGAAAAAAATCCCTCCACCTGACATGTGGAAGGAGTAGGACTAACATCTCCACTCTGGTGACTCCAATAAAAACTGGAGGTCTTAACTTCCAGTGTAGTGCTCCTTTTTGAAGAGGAGGGAGTGCTCCCTGGAGGGAGCACTTTGGCTTTTTTTTTTTAATAAGTAAATCTGTCTCAACCCTCATATCAGTGCAGCAGCACTCCCTGTGCTCAGCAGCCTCTTGTCTCTCTGTGTTTTAATAAATTCATTGTCTTGCCAAATTTGTGGATTCACCTGTAGCACCAAAAATTCCTGACAGTTGTCTTGACAAAACAAGCCCATTTTTAAGAGATTTTTTTTTTGGTTAAATGTTATCAAGAGAAATATAATATTTTAAGATAGCCTCATTGTAATGAGCTTAGAGAATTAAGTTTTAGTTTAGCATCAGTATATTAAATTTTGATCTTACAAAACCTTTAATGTAACTGGATTTTAGTCAACTCAATCACTTACATAAACATTTATAAGCTCCATCTTTTTATGACAACTTAACTCTGTATCTTCTGGGGGAGCTTGTTTTTATCTTTTTTATTTAAAAGTATTTTTTAATCTTTTATTTTTTAAAAACCATATCCTTAATACATTACATATGTAATATTTGTTATTTGCTGACAATAACTCATAAACCCTTTTAACTTAGAACCTTATATTTGTATGACCAAAAACAGGAAGAAAGTAACCTTAAAATTATTTTTGTATAAAAACAATTTATAGAAAGCCCATTTGTTAATAGACCCATTTATTATAAAAGAGAATTAAATTGCAGATTTTATTTATGACAGAATGAAACAGGCTAAGGTCAGTATTTAATTACCCAAATTTTAAGATTCCTGCTGCAAACTGTGGCTCCCCTTTCTTTTTTATCTCCTTTGGTCTGAGCCACTCAGAGTGTTAACCCCTGAATGCCTGCATCCTAGTGAAACCTGCTTGAAATAAATTTTCTTAAAGTAGCAGTAGAACAACAGAGTAATAATTTTTTACATTGACTTTATAGTAAGAATTATCCTCAAGATGTTCACATATTCATGTGTAAACAGTCTAAGCAGTTTATAACAGAGATCTTTAAAACAAACACCCTGGTTTTTTGTTACCTTGAGAAGCACATTAAGCTTATAACAGCAGTTTAAAAACCATTTTGAAGATGCTTATACACACACACACACACACACACACACACACACAATTAGAGTGCACTTCAAAAAAAAGAAAAAAACTTTTAAATTATACCCAGAGGGCTGTCTGGTGGCATGGCAGATTTTGCGTCTGTTCTCTGGGGAGTCTCCCTCTTTGGAACTGAACATTTTGTTACCCATTCCTTAACCTCAGTTATGGCTGTTTCCCAGGAAGAGCTCAACCTCCCTAATTCCTGGAGGTGTCTCACACACTTTTGCCCCACTCCTAAGCCTGAGAGACCCAGTTTCACCCCAAATAGGATCACTTGGGGGATCCCTGGGAGGTGACCAGCCTCTCCTTCTGCCTCCTGAGGCAGGCCTGAATTTGAACCCGGGTTCTTACCAGTCTGATGGGTGGTGCTCCCCTCCCCTCACGGTTCCTGTGCCTCCCTGGGTTCTGTTGTGTGTCTGTCTGAGGCCCTCACCCCAACTCGCTGGGAAGAGGAATCCCTCCTCCAGATCAAACTGTCCGTTGTCACCTGGTGGGATCTTCTCCCCGTGGTCCGGAGGATGCACCCCGGAGACAGGGGAGGTGATAATTCACCATCTCTGCAATCTCAGCAAATGAGACCCCAAGAAATGTTTCAGGAATCTCAAGCTGAGATACCGGACACTGAGGCAGTTTAACAGGAAGCAAAATTTTGTTGTGCTAGCACAGGCCCAGCAGACTCGTGTCCAAAGGCTGAGCCCCAAGAACAAAGGGGTCTCACCTTATATATCCTTGAAAGCAGGCTACAGAAGCAAAAAGCAACGTCTAATCTATATATGGTTATATTTAATTTTATTGGCTATTTTACCCTAGTGCTATGTGACTTTTCCCTTCCCCATTGCTATGTGACCTCCCTCGTGTTCAGATTTCTCAGGTTTTATCTCTGCTATGCCATTCCTGCCTCCCTGCTACTTTATCAGGACTCAGACCTAGTCTGTTTTCCTCAGATCCTCCTCCCTGCTACATCAATGCATCTGAAATGCAACCCCTCTACTGCACTCAAGGTCCACAGGGGCCCTTGCTCTGGGGTGCAGTGTCACCCCTTTGTCACCTGCCTTCTGCTCATACTGAGCTTCAGGGCTCTTTCTTTTCTTCTGTGCTTCCTATTTGAACTGTAACACACATTGTTGTGAGTAAAGATCACAAAAGTTGAGCTCCGAGAAGTCTGGCTGCCCTGTTTGTCCATTCTCTCCTTGTCAGGCAGACATGCAGTGAGACAGTGGGTGGGCACTGCCTAGTTACCCTCTGCTTGCTCCTCATTTCACAGTGTGCTTTTGAGCACTGCCCCGTCCAAGAGTGTCACAATCCCTTTGTGTTCATAGGGGTCTTGGGACCTTCACAAAGGGTGATGTGGCATCACCTGTGCCAGTCACTTTCCATGGTTGGAACAGACACCTGAGCCAAGAGTCTTGAGCAAGAAAGGGTGATTTTGGCTTAGTTCAGAGGTCGCAGTCCGTGCCCAGAGGCCCACTGTGGTGAGCCTGAGGCAGGGCAGAAAGTCATGATGGTGTAATTGCCATCCTATAAACTGCAGGCTTCAGTCCTTTATCAGTCTTGCAGCCAACACAGTGACATAGATGTTTCTCTGGCCTCTCTTCTCCCTCCTCCTGCCCATCCCAGCTCTCTCTGACTGTAGGTTAGCCTGCATGTTCTAGAATCTCCATCACTATGCTCAGGCAGTGACCACTGCCCTTTCTGTGGCTCTCATCCAGCACAGCCTTTCGCATTCAGCCATGGAGCATCACACCTTTGTTTCGGTCCACCTTGAACATCACAGAGACTGCCACACTGTCTTCCACAGTGGGCATGCGTGCTGCACTTCCAGCAGCCTGGACAGCTCAGGCTGCCGTCCTTCCCCGCCCTCCAGCACCTGGCCCATCAGTCTCCATCTGTCTGCTCGTGCATGTGGGTGCTGGGTGGAGGCCTCACTGCACCTCCCTTGTCATTTATATTCCCTCTAATGATGCACAATGTTTTTGGGGGGTGGGACAGATTTGAACTCAGGATCTCACTCTTGCTAGGCAGGTACTCTTACCTTTGAGCCATTCCACCAGCCTATTTTTGTCTTAGGTATTTTCAAGATAGGGTCTCAGGACGTATTTTCCTGGACTGGCCTCAAACCACAATCCTCCTGATGTCTGCCTCCTGAGTAGCTTGGATTACAGGTGTGACTCTCCAGCATCTGGCTAGAGGTAATTTTGTGTATTCAAATTTATCAGCTTTTAAGCTGGGCATTATAGTGCACACCTGTGATCCCAGCACTCACGAAGTACAGCCAGAGGCAGAGAGGTAAGAGGACCAAAATTCAAGGCCAGCCTGGGCTGCTGAGCCAGACCCCATCACCAAAATAAGAAAAAAAAAAAAACAACTCAGCTTATGAACACATTGATGCATCTTCTTGTAAAACCCTGGCTTTTACATGTGTAGACCCCTGATGTACATGGGGGTCATTGGGACACTGCTGCAGTACAGGTGTTGCTTAGGGAGCACTGCAGATGTGCCTTGGGCACTTTTCCAGAAGCCTGCCCAATTGCTCTAGCTCCATACACTCACCACCATCATCGTTACACACTGCTACGATGTCCCATCTGTTTTGTTGGCTGCCTTTGGGATGTCGGGCTTGTCCCTCAAAGGCATTTGTGACCTCAGCATCTGGTGGTCTGGGACCTGTCATGGGGCTGCAGGAACATCCCCAGATGCTCGCGCATGGCCCCTCTTCTGTCCTCCCTGCAGGGCCTGCGTGTGTTCGGCAAGCTTCTCCCCTGAGCTGCGCCCAACCTCTTGGTTTTCCCACATTTGGTCTTTTGTTGGCAGTACTGGGGCTTGAACTCAGGGCCTTGCACTTGTTAAGCAGGCACTCTGTCTCCTGAGCCTCTCCCCCAGCCAGTCTTCGTGTTTTTGAGACAGGTTCTCACTGTGTAGCCCAAAGTGGCCTTGAACTCCTGATGCTCCTGCCTTGGCCTCCCTGGTAGTGCTGGGATTACAGGTGTGGCTGCTGTGCCTGGATCAGATTTCCCTGTATGCGCTTTCATTGTTTTCTTCTTGTTGGAATGGTGTGGTAGAGCACAGAGCCTCATGATTGCTAAGCTGGCACTCTCTGTGAGCACGAGGGTTATCTTGTCCTGGCCCCGGGACAGGTGTGTCACTGGGTATGCCTTGTGCCTACAGGGGGCCTCATGAGCCCCATCTGCCCACCAGCTGTCTGCCCTTTAGAGCAGGCCACTCTTGCGCCTTTGGGACAGTTATGTGTCTTTGGGCACAAGTAGCTGTGGACTCATGTTACCATGACCCAGGGCTGCACTGCAGGACTCAGGAGGGGGTACTGCAGGGGACCAGCAGCCCCTGGGGTCACCTCACAGCTCTGGAGGATGAGGAGAGGCAGGGTCTGTAGGCCCAGAGAGGACAGCGAAGTCAGTGGCAGGGAGGGCCCGGTAGGGTCTGCTGGTGGTCACTTCACCTCTTGTCCCAGCACATTCTCTGGTCATCCATGTATGCCCTCAGTGATGAGCCATGCCACGACCCTGCAGCTGTCCCTCCGTGCCCTACCCCTGCCCCTCAGTTACCCAGGGTTCTTCTTCCACTTCCCAGGTTTCTCCACGACCAAAACAGTTCTGCTTTCAAGTTCTACCGCGAGAAAGTGCTGGAGCTGTGCCCATCCATCTCCTTCTCGCCATCCCCTCTCTCCCTGCACGCCAGTGGCGAGGGTGGGGACATGCAGAAGAGCCCCCTAGACCTCATGGAAGGGGAGGGGGTGTTGGACGATGAGACCCCTCAGCCCAAGGTTGTGCTGGAGAGCCCAGACCTGGTACCCGAGGAGGACGAGGAGGAAGACGAGGAAGATGAGGGGGCAGAGGAGGCCCCTGCTCAAGGCACCTGCAGGCCAGAAGCAGGAGCCAGCAATTGCGAGCTCTTGGCCCACCACAGGCCACCACGGGCACCTGCCCACCCCGGAAGAGGACGAGTAGCAAGTCTCTGAAGGTTGGCGTGATCCCAGCACCCAAGAGGGCGTGCCTCGTCCCCGAGCCAGAAGGTGAGCCCAGGCCCCAAGTGGGTCCTTCCTGGGGGCTGGGGAGGGTGTGCCATCATTCCTGCCACTCCTGAAGTTGCAGCCCCACGATCAGCCCGGCCCCAGGCATCTGGGTGTCTGACCAGACCCCGTGGTGGCCTCAGTGCCTTGGAGGCCCAGCACCTCCCGACGCCCCGCAAGGCTGGGTTGGCTAAGGCCAAAGCAGCCAGCGCCATACGGGTTTCTCTGCTCTCGGGTTCTAGTTTGTTGGTTTGCGATGCTGGTGATGGAACTGGGCCTGAGCCCACGCACGCTGTACCACCGAGCGGCCTGTGGCCCAGCTCACACTCGTACTCTGGAGTGCTCTGGCCCTCACCGGTCACAAAGCGGTGGCTCCTGCCACTTTGTGCCTCTGCAAGGCCTGGCTCATCCCCACCATCTCCTGCCCTCGACCTCAGAGGGTGGCCCATCCTCTGTGCCCCTGAAGACCTGCCATGACAGTGAGGTGGGAAGATCTGGGGTGGACCGGTCACAGGCAACAGTGTCCCTCCAGAATGGTCTCTGTGTCAGTGAGAGGGAACCTTGGCATTGCAGTGGATTGCAAAGGTCCTTCAGAACTCACCTGGGTGCTGTCAGGCCCATGTGGTGTCTGTGTAGGCACTGTGGGTGTTGGGGTGGCTGCAGCACCAGAGCAGCCATGTCCTCACTTTGTCATTGTTGATAACGCCATCCTGCACCCTCAGAGCAGCATGGCGTCTCCACTAGAGGTTCCTCATGGATGGCAGGGCTGCCTGTGGGGCAGGTGGCAGATGAGCCAGGAAGGCATTGTTGAGGGACTGGCCTACTGTGGCCATGGGAAGAGGCCAGATAGCAGGTCCTGTGCTGTAAATGGGTAGGGCTCTTGGTTTGAGTGGACTCTCGGGTGACATGCCCACAGCCGAGCCCTTGCTTACACGCGTCACAGCCATTCCTGAAAGGATCCGAGGTCCCCCGCAGCTGGCAAGTGGGATGGCACGGGTCTCTGCCCTCGCAGAGGTGGTCGTATGGAGTCTCTGAGAAAGGGCATGTGCACGAGGACGAGTGTCTGGCTTTTGTCTTCCAGTGCACGAGCCAGTGCGAATCGCCTATGACAGGCCTCGGGGCCGTCCGGTGGCCAAGAAGAAGGTAAGCCGCCTGTGTCCTCCCTCGGGGGCTTCAGAGGCCTCGTCCTGTGGTGAGGTGCGGTGGCCACAGTGACACCTGGCTCAGAAAGCAAACTTGGGTCCGATGGAGTCCGAGTGCTAGTGACAAAGCACAGCAGGCTTCAGCGGGTGAGCAGGGCCTGCGGGTGAGGTGAGTGGAGAGCACCTGGCCACAGGGAAGCTCAGCTTGCCCTCTGAGAGAGATGCCTCCGCGTGGTACGTGCTGCTGCCCACCCAGGTGGCTGCAAAAAACAGGTGCCACTTGGTGGAGGGGGCACTGAGGGTAGAGAAGCAGGCCGGGTGCAGGGTGGGGGTGTCGTGAATCAAGTGGCCTGGAGGAGGCAGAGGCGAGGGTCATCCCACGTCAGCAAGAGGCCACCATGGCATGGTGGAGTACAGTCCTCACCGCAGGGTACAGTCGCCACTGCCGCAGCCATTCTGACAGGCTCTGAGGACACAGGCAGGGTCTGGGCAGAGATGTGCCCCCTCTGGAGAGCAGTGTGGAGTGGGCAGGTAGAGAAGGGGGCCTAGGAGACCCAGACTTAGGGAGCCTTTTTGTACCAGGCATGGGGAGGTGACAAGGGACACTGGGGAGACTCACTGGTAGCTGGGTATGGCCAGAGGGTTGGACTGGTCATGAAGGGGACAGAGCTACTGTGTACTCTGGTGGCTGGGGACACGTGTAGGGGTGACATTCTTGTCCTAATGGCCATCCTGGGTTTTGAGCTGTGTGGCCTGGGAAGGGCACAGCCCTCACACCCAGCCTGCAGGTGGTTCAGGTGGGTCCAGGCTGTGCCCCAGGTAGGAACTTCCTGCTAATGCTACTTTCCTTTGGGGATTCTGCACCTGGCCACTCTTGCTGGGGACAGCAGGTGCCCAGGGGACCACCACTGCAATTCCCCCCATGCCCCTCACCAGCCTGGGTGGGGCTTCCCCACAGCTCTACAGGAGCCGGGCATGGTGGCTGTTTGTTAAACACAGAATTAATGGTCACCAACCACTGGGACACCATGCCTGCTGCCAAGCCCTGGTCACACTGTGCTTCCTGGCCACCTCCCTCCCTTTTGGGACTTAAAGGAGCAGAGAGCAGGGTCGTGCTATCCAGTTGGTCCCCATAGGGCAGGTGTGCCTCAGTTTCGACAACTCAGTGGAACTCCACCTCAGCCTTGTTGGCTGGAGGAGGTAGGAGGGTTTAGCCTCCCCTGGTTCCTGTCCATGGTGTCCTTCCTGGGCTCATTCTTAGCAGTGTCAGCTCTTGGTACCTGACCCAGAACCGGGACAGAGAGACAGACACATGAGGAAACGGGGCGGAGGCCCTGCTGGCCATCCAGCGTCAACACGGGGCCATCCCCCTACGTACCTGCTTTCCCAGCCTCAGTGCCAGTGGGCACAGGCACCTGGGGCCACTTTCCAGTTCTGACCCGAGACACACCCGCCCTGCGGGGGCAGCCGGGAGGGAAGTGGGAAGCAGGAAGACATCTGCTGCAGCACATGCAGAGTGTCCTCAAGCCCCTCTCTGTCTCCTCAGAAGCCAAAGGATCTGGACTTTGTCCAGCAGAAGCTGACCGACAAGAACCTGGGCTTCCAGATGCTGCAGAAGATGGGCTGGAAGGAGGGTCACGGCCTGGGCTCCTGCGGGAAGGGCATCCGCGAGCCCGTCAGCGTGTACGGCATGGGCCTGTGGGCGGGGGTGCGGCTTAGGCCCAGAACACCAGCTCCCTGGCTCCCTTGGGTGGAGGACGCATGCACGAGAGTGGGCTGTGGGGTGTTTGCTCTGTAAATAAAGGGTGTGGGTGTCTCCATGGCTCCTCTCTGTGCCGTGTCCACTGTTAAGTCCTGGCCCTGTCATTTCAGCCTCACTTATGGTGATCACGAGCTGAGTGATGTTTCTGGGTCATTACAGCACAGGGCCACATTCCCTTTTCTGGGACGCCACCAGCAGGCTGGCAGGGTAAAGCCAGGCCCCACATTTCTGGCATCGCTAGCTGCATCCAGGGGCATCACTTATCCCCAGGCAGAGAGAGCCCTGCTAGGTGAGGCTGTGCTCTGGATGCCTCAGGGGGCCGCTGCTCCTGTCCAGGGAGGTGGCCACACCTGTGTCCCCAGCACTTGGGAGTCTGAGGCAGGAGGGTGGCGAGTTCTAGGCCAGCCTGGGCTGCAGAGTAAAGACCCTGTTTCAAAAAACAAAATGAGGAGGCTGATGGAGAGGCTCAAGTGGTAGAGGGCCTGCCTGGCCAACCAGCAAGTAGGTACGTGTGCCAGGACCGCTGGTGACACACCAGCACACCAGCACAGCACAGGCTGTGGCATGACTCAGGTGGTAAGGTGCCTGCCTGGCAAGCACAAGGCCCTGACTTCAACCCCAGCACTGCCAAAACACAAAAAAGGCAAAAGCCCAGGACAGTGGCTCACTTCTGTAATCTCAGTTACTCAGGAGACAGAGATGAGGAAATGGTGGTTCAAGGCCAGGCTGGGGAAAAAGTTAACAAAACCCCATCTCAACCAACGAGGTGGGGATGGTGGTGCCACCTGCTGTCCCAGCTGTGCTGGAGGCAGAGGTAGGTGGGTTGCGGTCAAAATCACAAGACCCTACCTGAAAAATAACTAAAACAAGAAAGGGCTGACGGACAGGCTCAAGTGGTAGAGCTCAGAGCTTTGGCGACACAGATAAGCCTTGAAGCAGCAACTGCCCTTAACCCGCGCCCCGGACCTGCCTGGAGCCCAAGTCCACGGCTGTGGTCTGGGCGCACGATCACACGCCGCCTTGCCTTTCTCTGGAGCACCGCGCCTCTGCGCTCTGCCTTTCCTTCTCCTCCATGCCCCTCTGCGTCTCTTGTCCTCTTCAGCTGGTGCTGTCCCAGCTTCCCGGCCTGCCACGGGGTGGCCCCAGCCCCCCAGCCGCCTGTCCTCTGCAGTGAGCACACGGGTGTCCCTCACGCATCCACAGGTCCAAACCCGGCATGGTCAGAGCTGTGCCCTGGGTCCAAGGCTTCAGACACAGATGTCCGTATGCTGTTCTGTTGACCCTGTCACTAAAGGTGTCTCGCCCCTCAAACACATCCTGCCACGATGCATCTCAGCGCCAGTGCAACACGGCTGTGCAACGGCCTCCGCCTGGGTGGGCAGTGGCTGTTGTCTTCCACAGTGGTCCCCTGTTCCTGCTGTTTGTAGCTCCTTGCACAGGGCACTGTGTGGACATTCTGGTCCCACAGACACCGGGACGGGGGACCAGGCCGTTAGTGGGGGACCTCTTCCTGCACAGTGGGGATTTTGCTTTCTATGGTTCTGCCTGCCACCATCACCCCACTGTGGATGTGGCGGAGCCACCGTGGGGGGTCTCTGTATGGTGTCAGGTGAGGCAGCCTGCAGGGCATGGGGACAGTTTTGGGGACCCTGGTGTGGGGCTTCGGCTTCTCTTTTTCTCCTGGCCTTTCCAGCAGCTTCCATGTGGCCTGTGGGTCTGAGAATGGGTAGAACAGGGATGGGCGTAGAGCAAGGCATCCGGCCTGGGTCCAGCTCCTTCCAGCTGCCCTGACCATGGTGTCACCTTCCTGGCCTGTTCTTCATTTTCTACAAAAAGATATGAGTGGACGCTGCCCACTTCTGGAGCCTGGAAGCCCCATGAGCGTCCTGGACACTCCTGTGGCTTCCACAGCCGTGTGGCCGCACACCCTCACAGGGCCACTGTGGGGAGGGCGGTGGGGCAGGCGGGTGTGCGGGTGCAGTCCTGTCCACGTCACAGTGTCGCCTCTGTCCTGCACTTCCAGGGCCTCCAGGACAACGGCTCACCGGCCCCTCAGGGTGCTCACTGCCCACCCGCATCCACACTGCAGGCCATGGAGAGCGGCTCTGGCCCGGGCCCTGCCCTGGCCGGCGTAACCTAGAAGACATTGGTGACACTGCTGCGTGGGGGCTTTGTTTTGTTTCTGAGAAGTTGTGAGCGTTGTCAGCCATGTAGCCATTGCAATAAACGTAGAGGAAGGCGCTCTGCCTGTGACCGTGTCCTGTCGCGCAGGGACAGGCGCTGGGCCCAAGGTGGCAATCCCTCGTCCTGCCTCCCTCGGAGCAGCTGCCACCCGGGTTGTGTCTGGTTTGGGTTCCATCTTGTGAAGAAGCCATCCGCGTGGGCTGCTCACCTGCGCGCCGACCACCCAAGGCTGTGGGCCTGTGAAGCCGGGGCGGAGGGTGGGGGCCTCCAGCCTCCGGCTGGCCTGGATTCCAGCTTGCAGGGAAATTACACCTTCTGGATGGAAGAAGTCCTTCCCAGGCCACAGAGGGGAAACTGAGGCCTGAGGTCAGGGCTGGATGGGGCGTCCTGGGCTGGAGATCCACCCAGGACCTTCATGAGGCTGGGAATGGGAAACAGGAGGTCGGTGTGTGATTGGGGGCTGTGTCAGCTTCCTGATGCCCACAGGGACCTGCCCAGGATGGGCAGAGAGGCTCAGGGGTCAGGTGGCTGTCCTGTGTATTTGGGATGCTTGGTGAGGGCCAGCCTGGAACAGTGAGGGCCAGCCACAGCCGGAGTCCTGCTCCTGCCCCCACAATGCTACCCACTGTCAGGCCATCGTATGGGCCTGGAGAGGGGACAGGCTCGCATCCAGATTGCACAGTGAGCCATGCCCCTTGACCCTGCTCAGGCTGCTCTGTCGCAGATGGCGGGACCTCAGTTTCTCTGCATGGGGCACAGGCAGCACCTGTCCCAAGCTCACTTCCAGCTCAACCCTGGGTGTACAGCTGGGCTGATGCGAAGAACTGAACTCCTCCCACTCCTGCATGGAGCGTGGAGAGGCTGTCCTGTGCCCAGTCACAGCCCTGGGCCTCCCATGAGCCCCTGTCTCAGAGGTCCTGTGTCCCCAGACAGGCCAGCGGCCCTCTGTCCCCAGGGTCACATCGGCTGGACTCAACAGGGTTGGGCTGTCTTCTGGAGTGTGGGTCTCACCTGGGAACCCCAAGTTGCACATCCTGCGGGGACCAGGTCCCCACCGAGGTGAGCCCTGGCTCAGCATGATGGTGACCTCGAGCAAGCCACCTGCAGTCTGTGCTGGACAGGAGGGGCCAGCGCCAGCAGCTTGAGTCCTGTGGACCTGTTGGCCACTGAGGAGCTGGGATGGCATGTGGGGCCCCGGGGCACTGCAGGTCACCTTCCGTGGAAGGATGAAGTCAGGCAGCCTTCCCGTGGCAATGACCACAGTGGCCTGTGTGGGGACCAGCTCTCCTCTCTCCTGACCTCGGGAGGTCAGCTCAACACCTCAGTGTCCAGTTAGTAATGGTGATATTAGCATGAGTGACTTGGTTTTGCTTTGGGTGGTCGGGGCCTACGGTGGAGCTCGGCCTAAACACTGCACTGTGGTTTTATTTCACCACCGTAGCTGGAAAAGTGGCTTTTCTACAGTGCGTTGCTGGTTTGGGTTTTTGTTTCTGTTTTTTGGGTTTTTTGGCCATACTGGGGTTTGAACTCAGAGCTTCTTACTTGCTAGGCAGCCTCTCTACTGCTTTAGCCACAACCCTAGCCCCTTTTGTTTTAGCTATTTTTTGAATAGGGTCTCACATTAATCTCCCTCATAGCTGGGATGGCAGGCATGCAGCACCACACCCAGCTGTTATTGGTTGAGATGGAGTCTCTTTTTGCTTATTCTGGCTTCAAACCATGATCCTGCTGATATCCGCCTCCCCAGTAGCTGGGATTACAGGCGTGGACCATGTTGCCCGCCAAATCCACACACCCATGCTCCACGTGTGTGCTCCTGTCTCCCATGCCCTGAGGACGTTTGACACTGGAACCCCAGTTCCAGGTGACGCTGGCACCTGCCACTTCCAGCCCCAGGAGAGGGTGCTCCTCGCCGAGTGTGGTCATGTCCCTGCCCCCAGGCCCAGGTGAGAAGCAGGCTGGCCTGGAACTCGCCATCCTCCTGCCTCGGCCTCCTGAGTGCTGGGATCACAAGCACAGCCACCCTGCCCAGCCTCAGTTTACCCCAGTGCCTGCACCTGCTTGCGGCAGAGAAAGGCCGTCCCACCGTGACTTGGGATGCAGTTATGGGCTGTGGTGCAGCTGAGCCGGAGGAAAGGCCAAGTCCAAGGGTGGCTTCTGCTCAGCGCCGTGCTTCTCACACGGTCGGGAGGTTGAGGCGTTGCGAGGTGGGGATGTGTGTACAGGAGGAGAGCCAGTCATCCCTGATGACTCCAGGCCTGACACCCCGCTTCCAGCCTCTGGTTAATATGAAATCCTCATCAACCACCTCTTGTGTCTGGCTCCAGAGCATTCCAGTCCCATCAGCCATCACCCCCAGCCGCTGCTCTGCCTCCCATCTCTGGACATTTTCTATGGCTGGGTCACACACCATGCGGCCTTTGTGTCTGGGCCTGTCACTCAGCATTGTGAGGTTCATTGTACAGGTGTCAGTGCTCCAGTCCTTTTCATGGCTGAGTATTAGTCCACTGTGTGCACATCACCTTGTGTCTTTCCATCCATCCTTTCGTGGACACATGGCTTCTTGCTGCCTTTGCCAATATGAACTTTCCTGTCCAAGCCTGTGTGTGGACACAGGCTGTCACATCCCTTGCACACCCTAGGAGACTCAGACAGCCTTCAGGGACCCCAGGTAAGTGCCCAGGACTGGGCCATGGGCTGTTGGGTGGTGGGGGCTGAGCAGGTGCACCTGGCCCCGGGGTTATTCTTTTTATGTCCTCCTTGAGAAGGTGGTGACACAGCTTACAGATGACAGAAGCAAAAATAAGATCACCGTTTACTTCCAAAATATCACAATACTTCCTGAGAGTTTCAAATGAAGAATTTAAATCTGGAGGCATGACAGAGTCTTTGGTGATTACACCAGATGAAAATTGTCTTTTA